TTTGGGACAGAGTGGGAGAGGCGTGACCATCCCAAGGAAGTGTGTGTGTGTGTTAAACACAAGCGCAGGAAAGCCTCAGGGCTTCAGTGCTTGGGCTGCAAAAAACAAGGCTGCTTTTTTTTACAGTGAACCAAAATTAGCAAATCAGAGTGTAAAGACTCCATTTTCTTGCTTTTGAGTACTTCGGGATGCTCTGACAAGGTGAATTCTAGAAAGAGTGGACTGGAGGAGGTCACTTTCACCAAGAGTATAGAATTCGAATGTACTTTGAAGGTGACAGTTTTGTGTAAAGTGGTGTGGCCCCTGAAGGCACTGCTCTCAGGATTCAGTTTGCCCTCCTCAACACAAAGCTTTTGCACCTGTGCGTGTGTTTTGCATAAATTTCAAAAGTAGGCCAAACAGCTATTGAAAATGGACAGGATCTGAATTAGCAACATCAGCTCGTTTTGCTCCAAGTTCAGCACATGCTCACTGACTGGCCACACTGGCCAGAGGCCTGGCCACACCGAGAGGGAAGCTGCAGGCTTGAGAAGGAAAGAGGGCAGTGGAGAAGGCCCGGAGGACGTCCTCATTTTCCTGGGTGTTTGAACCTGGCTTCCTCAAGGAGGCCACATCTTTGGTGACAGCACAACCTTCTGTTCAAGTAAAAGTTTGAAAAACCGCTGCTACATCTATCTGTTCACTACCCATCCCTCAACCAAGAGGAAGCTTCCAGGGCCAGAAGCCGGGAAGCTGAACCCAGAAATGGCTGCGTCATTGGCATGTTCATGTCCTGTTGTCGAGAATTTCAAGATGGCCAGAGCACAGTGTGAATACATGAAGCCATGAATAAAACTAGCGCGCAGACCACAGCCTGCCGCCAATGCTCAGAACCCGTTTCCTTTACAGCCACCACCCAGGAGGCCAGCCTGCTATCGGAACTCCTGTGGGGTGTCGGGCGCTGTCTCTAGTCTCCAGGACTAACCCCTGCAAGAGCTGAGCCCAAGTGGCCAGCACTTGATCATCGACGGGTCCATTCCCAACTTTGCAGAGAAAGCCCAATATCCACTCTCAGCCGGTCACACAGGCCCCCAAACCCCAGTTAGCGGCCTAGCGCCGAAAGCCCCAGCTCTTCCAGGCGACAGGCCCCAGACAGGCCCCCTCACCAGGTCGGGAAGCCCGAGCCGCCTCTGGCCCGAACAGCCAAGCAAGCGCACTGCTGCCCTCTACAGGGCTTCCGGGCGTCCTGCGCCAGCAAGCCCGGAGACAGCAGTGCTCCCAGGTGGGCGCCAGCTCCCTCTCAGGATGTCCCTCCTGGGCCTGGCAGAGCACTGCCTGGCAACCCTGGACTGAGGTGATCCCTCCATAACCCACGTGGCTTCAGCCGTGGGGAGCAGCCCCCATCCCCACCCCTACCCGTGTGGTTCAGCTCTGCTGACCTGGCCCGAAGCTGGCCAGTCTTCCACACCGGTCAGCTCTGGCTAGCATTAGATTCCCCAGGCACTAGGAGGCACTATGGCTTCGCAAACACCACTCGGGTTCCCATCAAATCACCCTGAATGTTTCCCCCCTTTCCATTTCTGTAAAATGTGGATAGCAACCTCCTCTTTGCAGAGCTGTTCTGAGAAACCTGTGAGGTGTAGAAAGCCCGGCAGTCCTCTTCCATAAGACTCGAGGAGCCACCTGTTGGCGGCAGGTGCAGGTGAGACTTTAACCACAACCAGCCTGGGTCTGGCCTGGCTGGAGAACACCTGAGGCCCCAGGCCTGGGACTCTCCTGTACAATTTGGCAGCTGCAGGGGCTCCCAGGTCCAGCTGGGCCCAGGCCTCCTGGTCTAAGCTGTAGCCCAGTGCCATCTCCTGGGGTCCTGGGGATTGCTCTTTCCCAAAATAACCAGAGCTTCTAGACTGGGCCACCCGCTGAGGAAGCTTTTGACCACCCAGGAGAGGCTCAGCCCTGTGGGCACCCTGCCTCAGAAGGGGAGCACCAGGTGCACTCTGACCTGGGCCACGGGCCTGATCTCTAAGGAGCTGCCTCCTCACTCTGCCACTGTAGTTGCTTCCCTGTCAGCAGAAGACTGAAGATAAATAAGCCTTGGAGGCAGCAATGCACACACCTGCTTCCCAGAGGCAGGGGAGATCAAATCGGAACTGACCTCCATTCCAGTGTTTCCTTGTTAACTCTGGCTGATGCATGAATTTCCCTTGAAACACCATCATGCTGGCACGTGGCTATAATATTCTGCAGTGGCTTCTCTACATGGAGTCCTGTGGGTGCTCCTCTTGGGTGCTGGGCATAGGACTTAGGAGCTATGCGAGGTCTCGGCCACAGAGATTTTAATTGCGGCCTCATGACCAAGTGACCTAAGTGACTTCGAGTCAGACACTAGGCCGCCTTTCATCCTCCCACGCCCTGGGAGCCCTAAAGCACAGGCGGTGCTCCTGTCCCCACGGCTGTCCTCACCCCATCACCCTGTTGCCTGGCTCCTCTCCCGCCCCCCTTGCTGCTCAGAAAGTGAAAATCATTGCCTATTCTGCTAGCAGTTCGCTTCTGAAAAGCTGACCCTAGAACAAAGTTTTAAAATTTCTGAGTTGAATATTTGTCTTGAGTCCAAGTACTGTTTTCTGCTCTAGTATTCTCTCTTGTCTGAGATCAGTTTCTGTGACCTTGACTTAGTCTAATTCTACATACCCTCTTCCTCACGAAAAGAACATGTTGGGCGAATGTGGAGTGTAATAAATGCAAACAGCCTACAGACAATTGTCACAACTTCGGGAGTCGCAGGAAATGATTTGCCCTTGGAGAACACACAACCCATCTCAGTCACAGTAGCCTCTAGAAATAAGTACTAAGCACACATCTGTAGCTGTACTTCAATGGGGAAATATTTAGATTAACTGAAGTTTATTTATAAACTCCCCTAGTTACAGTGTCATAGGCTCAAGGTTACCCCATAAAGTTTTCTCTACATTTATGTTCATATGCTGTGAATAAAGGTGTGTTAGCACTTTGCTGCGTGTAAATATTTTAGAAGTCAAGAACCAAAGGAAGAAAACCATAAAGCCAGAGAACTAGGGGATTGTCATTAAATCTAGCAAAAAAAAATTTAAAAAGCAATTTAATTTTCAAAAAAAAAATCACCAACACAACTCATCCTGGAACACCACAGAACACTGCAGTAAGAGCCACTCTCTGTAAGGTGTTTCATGTGTGTCAGCCGCACTGTTCCAGAATCACAAGCCCGAGACCAGCACCCAATCCTGCGTACCGCATGCAGGCCAGATGCCAGTCCCACACACGGCCTGTAAGTTGGAATCCAAGTGCCTCCACCCCCCTCACTTCGCCATTTACTAAATTCAGTATCTGCTGCAAAACATACTAAAAATAAAGTGATAATCTACAGTGATCACTTTAATTCTAAATAGTAAATTTCCTTGCTGATGGAAAATTTAACATATATCTAAAAGCACAATGATAAAGTTATTTATCTATTAAGATAGGAAAAAATAGCTATCATCTTAAACATTTTTACTCTGATATAATATGAATCTAGTGCCTAAATATTTGATATACATCAAAAGCACTAATGATGAAGCTACCCTCCTGTAACTAGGAATGATTCACATTACTAATTTAACTCTGCATGGCAGCGGAGCAAGCTCATCAATTAAACGATTTCTGATTCCTTCAAGATCAGGGCAGAGGCTGGGAATCTCCATCCTGACTTATTCCCGTGCTGGAACCACAGAAAGCAAATGTACACATATCAAAGCCTTTATAAATTTGATGCTGAAGACACAGCATGGGACAGATTACGTTTAAATGAAGAACCGGTTGCTTATTGTGAAAATGTAATTCATTCCAGAACAAGCTGTAATTCCATCCCTAAAACCCATCAGAGTTGTTTAAATGTTACGTGATAAATTTGTCCGATGTTCACTCCAAAGCACTCTACGTACCTACGATGTGTACTTTCTCTGTAATGCTGTCTGACAGTTCACCTTTCCTGCTCACAAAAGCCAATTAAGACATCCTGCGCCGTGCGGTGAACGCAGGCTGACTTCCATAAACACCCACTTCGGTCATATCTCAACCACGTCACGGGTGCGCATGCGAAGCTGCGGGCCAGCGGCCTGGGCAGATCGCAGTTCCAGGCTCTGCACTCGCACTCGCGCCCAGAGGGGCGGGTTCTTCCAGGTTCTCCTTCAGGACGTGAAAGTCAGCCTGGCGGAAGCCCCTGGGTATCAGGATGGGGCCCCTCTAACCCACCTGTGACAGCCCCATGGAAGCAGACACGGGACCCCGCAGGCTACAGAGGCCGGCCCACCTGCGGGTAACTGTGTCTTCCAGACTAGAGGTTTAACATGTATTTGTTTGACTCTTTTTGATTTAAAGGTTTGAGATTATCAGTGAACTGCTGGAATTCATGTTTAAAATGGAAACCCTTGACAGTCACTGAGGAAACTATTCTGCTGTGGCGAGCTCATATGCTCTGGCTGACCCCTCCCGCGGGCACAAGGAGCCAGCCCCACGCAGTCACCCAGTCCTGGCCAGGACCGAGCGTGGGAAAGGCCACCGAGCTCGGCTCATTTAAAGACACCAGAGTTTGAAAACAGCAAGGCGCTGAGAAGACCTAACCACGCAGGTGACCTACGTAGGTCCAAGACAGTACTTAAATTTTGGCTTATTGAGTGAGGATGAGGGTAAACAGTATAATTTATAATTTATAATTCAAAAGCTTTCTGGAGACCTGAAATGAACTACAAGGGCAAGTTGTAAAAACAGGAGTCTGTCTTTTTATCAGACTAAATGCAGCCAAACCTCCAGTGGTGATACTTAAGTGCAATTTCTTCCTGGTGTAGAAATGATTCCTGATAACCACTCTTTTGACAGAAAAGAGAACTTTTTCTTCACATTCAATTTGTTGTCTCCTTTAAACACGAGTCTTACACACAGTATTAAAAAGAAATCTTAGCAAAAACAGGACTAGATGCTGAACAGATGAAGCAGAACAAGAGAAATAGGACTTACTATTTATTTCTTTGCTTCACACACGCAAAAATTTAAAATGGCCCAAGACACCCAGCCCCCTCCTGTGTCCTGCACGGCACAACGGAAACACAGAGGGTCACGAGCCCAGCTCCGGGTCAACCTTCTCCACCTTGACGACCACCTCGGGCGCCACAGCCGCAGCCCCTGCGGGCTGGCTCTCCGCCTCCGACTCGGACAGCACTTCTTCCTTGATTTTTACAGGCTTACTCCCGGCCTCCTCCTCTTCATCCGAGGACTCATCGAGCTCCCACTCGTCATCTATGTCCATTTCAAACACTCTCACGTGACGGAGATTTGAGCTTAACTGAGGAAAAAGAGGCCGTATAAGGAATTTTTAAATGAATGTCCGAAATACCTTGTGTGTGAGGAATTAGAAATCAGCAGCTTGAAGGAAAAAGGATTTCATAGCTGCCATGACCTCAATAACTTAAAACGGTCACTGAACTCAGCCTTCATTTTGCTTACGGGGATCTCCACACACAACAGCGACAATTTCATGATCTAGAAATGGCGGTAATTGCGTAATCCGTTTTGTCAGAACAGGAGAACTATGTAGCGAAGGCCACCATGTGCCCTAAACCAGTAAAAGCTCACAAAATGTTTGCCTGGGGAGGCCCCTGCAAACCTCAAGTCCCTCCCCCCGCTCCCTCAGTTAGTGAGCAGCTGGACTTACCACACAGGACACTTTCCGAAAGCCATTCCCAGCCACGTACTGGGCCTTCATGCTCTCCAGCAGCCGCCAGTGCTTCGCGAAGTGCACAGTGCGCGTGGGGATGGCGCTGCGCTGCTCATCCAGCCTGGGGGCGGGTCAGAGAGAAAAGGGGGGTCTCTAGGGGGTTTCCTGGGGTGAGGTCAGGGCCGGCCATGCATTCCATTTCTCCCGCACTCCCACATCCAGCACCATTTACCAGTCACTACATGAGGGTCATGATACTTACTCTGTGAAAACGCTGCCATGTCAAGGAGGCAGAGTCTCACCTAAGATCGCTCAACCCCTTTTAGGGAAAGCGAATGGGCACACTTTTTTTCTTCTTAAATATTATAGTAGTTCATCTTTACATCATTTTGTGCCTTTTTCCATCTCAGTTGTAATCCCCATGGTCTTCCCATCACCAAATCACCGTTTGGGCACTTTTTTTTTTTTTTTAAGATTTATTTATTTTTTCATACAGAACTGGAGTACAGGCCAGAGATGCGGAGGGTGAGAGGATTCACCAGAGACAGAGTGGGGAGCAGCACAGGCAGATCGACGAAGTACACTGCTGAGGGGAGCAGCGGGCGGGTCAGGAGAGGTCTGCCACACCATGTGGTCTCCTCCGGGACAGACGGGAATCGAACTCATGCAGAAGTGGCTTTAGCTTCTCAATGCTGTGCTTTAACCCGCTGCGCCACCAGGGAGGGCCTGGGCACTTTTTTTAATTAGAGAAGAGACCTGCTTAAATCTCAGTCTGGTAAGACCATCTCTTAGCACTGCCTGTACACCCCAGCGGGCCACTGAGCTCCTAATTCTGGAAGGAAAGCACCGCCAGCAAATCTAAAATAATTAATTCTGCAAAAAACTGGGGTGAACGCGACCCTTGAAACCAGAGCTAAGAGAAATCCCACTCTTCACTCAAAGTAATTCCCCACCTATTCCACTGACCACTGACTACTTCCTGACATACTAGTCAAGTGACAGAGAGGTGCTGAGCAATTACTTTTAAAATAAAAATACTTCTGCTCTGCCTACTTTAAGGTTATCTCCTGCAACTAGATAGCCATCATCTAGCAACCCTAAAAATCTCCAATGTAAAAATACATTGAAAAACATTTGTACCAGGGCCCTCCCTGGTGGCACAGCAGGTTAAAGCACAGCACTGAGAATCTAAAGCCGCTTCCGCATGAGTTCGATTCCCGCCTGCGCCGGAGGTGACCACATGGTGTGGCAGACCTCTCCTGACCCGCCCGCTGCTCCCCTCAGCAGTGTACTTCATCCATCTGCCTGTTCTGCTCCCCACTCTGTCTCTGGTAAAGCTTCTCACCGCCCCTGAGCCTCTGGCCTGTACCCCAGTTCTGTATGTGCAAATAAATTTTTAAAAAACATTTGTACCAGAAACTATTACATTATAAAAAATGATTATATCCCAAAAAATGATCTTACTAAAGAGTGAGTTACCTGGTAGAGTAAGTCCCAGCGAACTGATATTCCACACTATCTTCACTGTTATACACCGAAGACAGCGGCAGCTGGACCAACAGTCTATCTCTTCCGTCACGTCCTACAGTGTCTTTAAGAACTACTGTTACAGTTTCATCATCATAAAACTGTGCATCTAAACAACTATAGGTGCTAGAATTGAAATAAGTTTCGTTATACCAAAAAGGATCATGATTATTGAAAATACTGTATGCATAACATGATAGTGGTAACAAGCAAAACCTTACTACAAATAATCAAGTGACAGTCAGGACCATGGTGCCTGAAACACTCTAGTCTGCCTCCATCCACGGGTGCCCACTGCACTGATCACTCATAAACATAACTAGGCCCTAAAAACAAGTCGTCGTGAAAAAGGAAAATGCTGTGAAATCAGTCCAAAAAGCTTTTGATATCAGAGGCCAGGCCTTAAGGATGACTCAATAACTGTAGTGAAATGAACAGCAAAAATAAGATTTACCTATGAAAAGTCACTATAACTTCAAAGATAACTGTTACAAAGAACATCCTTTACATGAGGGAAAGAGAGTAAGGAAAAAGATCAGCCGCTGGTGAGTGTCAGTCCTTTCCCCAGTAAAGTTTCAGGGGTGACCTAGGTAACGTTGCCCTTTCAGACCCTGAGAAAACCCCGCGCTGTGAGAACACCACCTCGCATTCATGCTGGGCAGTCCAGAACGTCAGCTATCTGCTCCTGCACCGACTCTGGCTTCTTAGCAGACAGGGAGCGCAGAAATATAAACAACAGGAACCCATGCTACCTAACACTCCCGTGAGGCATAAGGTTCTATTCTACTGTAAGTCAAATAATTCTCTTAAGTCTAAGACATGTAACCAACCCCGGCCCTGAGGCTGCACATGACAAAGGTCTCCTGGTGGACCATGGCCGTGACTGGGTCTAACTGTGATCGTGTCGCTGCATTTACTACACAGACACACTTACGTTGACGTCTCATCCATACGAGATTCTAGACTTACCTTCTTCTCACTTTCTCAGTTGTGGCATATGTGAAGCTTCCAAATTTAATAGCAATTAATCCATTACTTACAGATCTTCAAGAAAGAAAGGGGGAAAGAGATTTGGTAGAATAACTTGGACAGCCAGTATCAGACATGCCTGAAAGAACATGACTGCCAATGTTAGTACATTTACCTAACACCAGATCCCAGATCAAAATACCATTATGCTCACTCTTGAATACTGACAACTCATTTAAATGCCTAGACAGTTAAATCTGACATGAAAATTACAACTTGGTTTGAAAGCTTAAGAGTCACCAAAGTAGATAGATATAAAATTAAGGACATTTAGAATCCCCAATTTCTCTTTTGCTGTATCTTGGACCTAAAAAGATTCCTTCAAATTCAGATTTAGAGCCATTTAAGATACTAATGGCATTCTGCATGTAATTTAGCTTTGCCATTTTAGATCCTCAAAAGGACTTTTATACTGGATTCTTCTTTTGAGTTCCCAAAGAAAAGGTTTAGGCGAGGTCTCTTTGAATGAAAGGCACACTTTAACCCGAACTAAGAATCTTCTCTCTGAGGAATCCAGTTTCTATGAGGAATACAGTTTCGCACTTCTACAAGTTCATGAAATGTAATACTGGGTGTTTTGGCTGCTGTATTTTTCCTCACCCTAAAAAAAAATCCTACCTGTAGTAGTCACATAGCAGTGCAAAATTAATCATGAGGAATTAGACAGGATCATAGAGCTTCCTCATTTGGCACTAACTTAACAATGTGAAAACTTCAGACTAAGAAGAGCTAAATGACAAACTCAAGGTACAAGGTAGCATAACTAAAACTTGAAATGTAGAGAAAGAAAGTTGCATGCCTTAGTCAAAAAAAAAGATCAAACTTTTATCTCTTTGACTCAAAGTTCAAAGTGATACTTACTGGGAAATATCAGTATGTCTCCTTAAAATGCACATTTTGTGAAGTGAATCTTCTAAAATAGTAAAAAGAAGATAATGCAGATTCGAGGTCTTATTATTCCATCTAAGGAAATAAAACTTAATGTCAAAACATGCAATTTCACTACCAATGTATGGAACAAACTTGCGTATTCATGAGAGGAAACCCACACTTACAGAAAAGGAAATTTGAACAATCTACGGGTACAGTCCTCACTAGAACAAAAGAAAAAAAAAGTAAGAAAAACTCAATTTGGCTGCTGAAGTACACCACCCAAAAAGTAAACAGAATTACCTTCTAGCATCTCTATATAAGGGAATACAGATGGCTTGATTCATTGATTTTCCAATTACATCCTAAATAAAATAAGATTTAAAAATACAATGAGAGCATTTCAGAGATAGTCTAGAGAGTGACTTGCTACTCGAATACAATAAGAAATGAGCTATATCACCCAACTGTTCACATGAGAAAGTTGCATGACCATCATGACAGTAAGGAAAAGAGAACATTCTGAGCTGCAAACCGCCTGGCGTCCGCTCGTGGCAGCTAAAGAGCCACCGCCCAGTCTCACACGCCAACTGCCCCGCATCGGGGGCAGACGAGAGGCACGGTGATGTGTGTGCTCTCATCAAGGCGTTGACACTGTTCTGGGAACAAGTGAGATACTGAAGGCCACTAGTGTCAATATATTCAATTTTTTATGTATGTAAGAAACTAACAAAAAGGAAATATTGTAATGAATCACACAGAATTGCCATTTTTGTTCATCAAAAGCAATTGAGGGCTCTCCTCAGTGGGCCAGTGGGTTGGAGCGCAGTACTATGAAGCTAGCGGCAGCTGCTTCAACACAAGTTGGTCCCTGGCCAGGTGGGTGACCCACATGGCGTGGCAGACCTCTCCTGTCTCACCTGCTGCTCCCCTCAGCAGTGTACTTCCTTGATCTGCCTGTTCTGCTCCCCACTCCGTCACTGGTGAATCCTCTCACCACCCCTCCCACCTCTGGCCTGTACCCCAGTTCTTGTATGCGTAAATAAATAAATCTTTAAAAAAAAAGAAGTTGAAAATGGTCCAGCTTAAGAACTATGACCATTTACATAGGCGAGTAACAGAGCGGAGGTATTAGATTCTTACCCCTATCAAAAGACATGTATTTCTTTTACACTTACTGCTGGCTTTTGCAAACACTGATCAATAATGTTCTCCATCTTCCTTTTCACAAAATGCAATGATTTTCGTGGATAATAAGGAAACAGCAAAGGACTTTCTGGTTTCAAACAAAAACAGAAGCAACAACAAAAACAAAAGCTATAACAAACCACATGATTAGGAGAAAATAATCTGTTTGCGCCAGGCTGCACAGCTAGTCTGATGGTGAATCCTCCCGCCACTTCATTATTCCTCACATGGCCTCACCAACACTGACCGAGGTCTCTGCCTTCATCACTCCACTCCACCCCCACCCCACCCTGCTGCCATCCTGCTCAGAACAACCTAACAGCCAATATTGTTCTAAAGTCTCCTTTTCCCCACCAAAATCCATGGCATGCAGCTGTTGGCTATAAGAAAGGAATGATTTGTGAATCATAAGACTTACAATGAAGTAAAGTTTAATCTTCTCTAACCTTTACCACAATGGAAGGACAAAAACAGTATTATATGGGGAAAACATGAACTTAAAATCAAACACCTGACCCTAAAAACAAAAACAGTGCTATGAAAACAAACTGTTTACTTTTGAAACGGCTTCTTAGCAATAGAAAGTAACACATCATTTAGCACTGACTGACACCAACGATGCTAGCCTTTTTATATCTACCATTACTAGTGCTCACAATAGCTGGACAGAGTAAGCATCAGACGCTCTAGTTTACAGATAGGAAAAAAAGAGGCTGAGGGCTAGGCAGTTGTGTGTGAAATGGACAAAGTATTTAGGCCATGAATCAAACCCGAGTCTGCCCCCGCCCCTCCTCTTCCACAGTGCCCTGTGGGCCTCCCTCCCTCAGTGTCTCCTGTCCCAGCACTGCTGGGGAGAATGGATGTTAATCATGTTCACTTTTAGGTCCCCAACAGCTGACAGGTACCTGGTATCACAGAAAGCTACTAGGTCTTTATCCCTGGCTGCTGGCACAGAGCTCCTAAACCCCTTCACAATTTCCTGCGTAGCAACAATGACAGGCACATGTTCTGTCTTAATGAGGCAATGCCTGGCAGGTCCCTGGATCGCTTCAGATGGGCACTGGCTGCCAGCAACACCAAGGCGCAATTACAGCTCAGCACTTCTAGTGCGTCCCCCAACCTAGAGGCTGAGCCCATCACCAGTGGCCAATAATTTAATCCATCATGCCTACTTAATGAGTTTCATTAAAACAAAAAACAAAGCCTACACAAGGTCAGAGGGTGTCTGGGTAGGTGAGTACACTGAGGTGCTGAGAGGCTGGAAAGCTTGGGGATGGCAGCTCTGCACCCCTCCCCCGAAACTGTCCTATGCAGCTCTTCTGTTTGGCTGTTCCCGAGTGGCACCCTCGGAACAAAACTGACAAATGTCAGTGAAGTGTCTCCTTCAGTTTTGTGAGCCATTTTAGCAATTATTGAAAGTGAATGGGGGAGCGCCATGGGAAGCCCCATATGGAAGCCACGTCTGGCAGAAATGCGGGAAATCTGGGAATCAGTGCGCCCCACCAAAGCCATAAGTGGGGGCAGTCGTGAGGCCTGGGCACCTACAGGCACGGAATCTGGTACTGACTGTGGCTGGAGTCAACTGAGTGGAACTGCTGGTGCAGCACCTGCTACGGTCAGGAAAACACTCCCTCGTCCCGGCGTCAGAAGTGTTCTGAGGAAAGGCTGCTGAGAGGCTGCGTGCGACGGCTGTGGCTCTGTGCTCGGCACTGTCAGCACTCCATCCATTTAGATTAAGCTGTTTCAGCTTCAGCTTAATCTAAATCAAAATAGATGAAGCGCTTTTCGGAGGGAGGCATACATAAGTACATGGCTAATACCATAGGGACCTAACAAGTTGATGGATTGTGGTCAGAATTCTCTGAGAAGAAATGCATGCTTCAAAAATATTTTCATCTGAAGTTCTGACATAGCCAGGGGCTGCTACTTGTATCACATCCTGAATAGTGCAGGACCAAGTGGTGCTGTATTACATACTAGAAGGCACCACTAGAGCCGCAGGAGGGCAGTGATGTCATGCTTCCCGGAGCTAACCCATGAGAACTGGCAAGATGGACGTCCCTGACCAGTAGTGGTTTTCTTCCCAATACCCTACTTCTTGTAGGACACAAAATCAATGGTATAGAAATAATGAAGAACAAGCAATCAGTTAATTTCAGGGTGTCTTCCATTATGGCAATGTCATACACTACTTGTTATTTTGCTGTCTAATAATACGCAGTGAACAAAAAAGACAAATTTAAGTATTCACTGAAACTGTTAGATGACTGATAGGTCTCAAGCACAGACAAACATGGTCAGAATCTACCTGACTCATGGAATACCTTTAAGGTGGCTGCTGCTCTGAAGGAAGTCATACCACTGGTTTCCTTCTGTGTTGGGGGGTGACACAAGGTCATCATCTTCATCCTTCAGGTACTAGAGATGCAGGGTTCAAAATTAAAATGCAGTAACCCAAAAAAAGTAGGCTGAAAAACATCTTTACATTTAATATTATTCTGTTCATAAGTGATGTTTTAGTGCCAAGTCCTCTGAAAACGTACTGCTATTATCCTGAGAGGTAACCAAAATCTGCTAAAGACCAAGCAACCGAAGAAACTACAAGTCATCACTAAAAGATGAGAATGCTGTAAGCTGTGGGGGCTGTAAGTTGAGTTAACCTTCGTATTCCATTGGCAGAAGCATCTTTTGATCTTAAATATATGTCACAAATAAGTTTTAAAAGTATGAACTGACCATCCATTGGATGGCAGCAGTTCTCAAAGGCCCTGTGTGAGGCCGTATTTCTTTTGTATACATTAATCAAAACACACTATCACAACAGACTGAATACTGAATAGATATGAAATTCTGTCTCCTATGAAAGCCAGACATCTAAGAGATTTGTTAAAAAAAAAATACTACCACTCTTAACTAAATATCTTTGTCTTGTATAGTCAATTTTCATTAAAAGTACTTATGTGTAATTTTAAGTGGGCTTATTTTTAAATTAATAATTGTTAATTCTGTTTAACCTGTAATACACAATAGTATCTACCCTCAATAGATGTAAACCACATAAAATTTATCAGAGGCCCTCAATAATTATTAAGACTATAAAAGGGTTTTGAGACCAAAAAGCTCTTATAAGCTACTCTACAGTCATTTACTCAACGGATAGGGTTGCTATAGAACTTGACAGTAACTTTGCATGAACTTTATAAAGACTAATATCAGAGTTTTAAAATTTATTTTTAAAAATTAAAAGTAACAAGTTCAACTCAAAGCCCATACCTGACCAACTTTTTCAACATTAAAGTATTTTCCTTTTCGATTATAAAGGTCTGGCGCCTAAAAAGAATATAACATAGTTTAATTTTATGTCAAACCACAAATGAAAGAAAAAAACTCCAAAATTTAAACCGATTCTATTTTTTAAGAGTGCTAATGATGGTTGTTCTTTTCTTTGATAGAGTATAAGGCATGCAAACAAAAATTCAATTTACAGATTTTGTTTAATAAGTACTGCCATTAACTCATTCAACAGTGTAAGTGTAATTGCCAACTTCAATGAAATTTGGTTATTTATTACCCTTAACCAGTCTAGTGCAATTATTTTTTAAAATAGCATACAGAAATGCCAACTTCTTACCTCATTGAAGTGTTCAGTAAGAAATTCAGCAACAAATGTGATATCTTTTTGAGTCATCTATCAAAAACCAAAAGGAATAAAAGAAACAAATCCACATGAAAGAAAACTTTCAATGAAGGAAAGACGTTAATAACAATTTACCTTTTTTATTATCAACTAAAAGTCATGGAAAAATCAGGCAAAGTTCCGTCAAAGAAATATCAACAGTTTATGCAACTGCGAAAACATGATCCTCAGGTATGTCATTAACATCTGAAAGCCACTTTCCAATCAGTGAATCCAGAGCTGACCTCAGGAGGTCAGTCATCACCTAGTGCCTTCTGCTGAGCCCAGGTGGACAGACCCCTCCTTGGAGAAGAAGCACAACTGGGTGAACTCTGAGGTCTGCAACTCACCAGCGCCGCTTACTCCAGGCTGGCCTCTGCCTCCCACAAAGACCCTGCCTTCCAAACAGCTCAGTCCTCAGCCCTCAGATCACACTGAGATCTTCCCAATAATTACCGTACTGCATCTCCCAAAATAAAGCTAAGGGTGATGTCTGAGAAACAGTTAATGTGAACTTCCCTACTTTGCAAGGGAAACTGGCTGTCAATCACAGTGCAAAAGACACTGGAGTAAGAACTACAGACAGTGATCCCTTACTCGTCAAGTCTACCTTGGCTGCTTTTCAAGATTTGCATTTTTTCAGGTTCAAATGACCTGAATCATAGTCTGGGTAAGATAAGGATGGCTAAGTCATAGGAACCAAGAATTCTGTCCTACTTTTAAGGCCTACCCTCGAGAAGATCCCATTCCCGCTTGGCACAACATGGAGAGCAGACAGAAACCATTACTTACCACACATTAACACATTACTACTATCAAAGTATGAGGTTTCCCAAAAAAATAAAATGCATTTACGAATTACAAAAGCTAAAGTAGAGAATGTCAGCACTACACATTATTTGGATTATAAAACCTAATGCAAATAGGAAAATAAATATTTAAAATATACAAATTCCATTTTTAAAGAAGCTTACTGCACCCTATTTAGTGTCTCGAGCCTGACATGCATCAAGCAGTAACTACCTAAGAGCACCAAGATGACCAGCCACTGAGCTCAAGCATGTGCAGAAAACACTACCTTATTCAGGACCTCCCTGGTGGCGCAGCGGGCTAAAGCACAGCACTAAGAAGCTAAAGCCACTTTTGCGTGAGTTCTATCCCTGCCTGCCCCGGAGGTGATCCACATGGCACGGCAGACCTCTCCTGACCTGCCTGCTGCTCCCCTCAGCAGTGTACTCCCCAGTCTGCCTGTTCTGCTCCCTGCTCTGTCTCTGGTGAAGTCTCTCATTGCCCCTGCACCTCTGGCCTGTACCCCAGTTCTGTATGCATAAATAAATAAAACTTAAAAAAAAAATAAAATAAAATACTACCTTATTCAGCTCGGGGAGCACGTGGTCTTCTGTCATTCTCAACATTGCTGGAAATACAAAAATAAAGATGAATTTTAAAGGAAAACCAGAATTTTAATTGTTGATGCATTTCAAAGACTAAATGTGTTTCACTCAACTAAACTTTGAATTTTTAACAGCTTCTCTTCACGAACAAAAAAACGTAATCCTTATAAATCTAAAGGATGAAAAACTTAAATTTGATTGATATTTCCAGCTTCAAATGACTGATCTAACTACTCTCAACTATTATTTCTCATTTTCTTCTCATTTCAACCTGTTACCACACCAGATAAATCTAACCACTGCCTTGTGCCCAGACCCTGTATGAGGGATTCCTCCTATCTTGTCTTCTCTTAGCGTCTGCAAACAGTCCCTCCGAAAGCCTCAGAATGAAAGACAACTGTGCTTCTTTCCCTTGGGCTTTACTGCTATGTGAAGATACCTCGCAAATAAAAACATGCACACACACTTCCAAGTGCGCCTATTCATACGCATTAGCCCCTGCGGCTGACCCGACTCACAGCACCACGCTTCTCCCATTACACCCACCCAAGTCAAGACGCGTGGGGCGTGACCTTCCCTGTGAACGTGCTTCCCGGTTATGTTTTGGTCAGCAACAGGTATGCTGGACATGATTCTGCACATACATCTTAGTTTAGAAACTACTTTTAATTAATTCAAAACACCTGAGAGGAAAAAGCTACACTGTACAAAAATGAACAATGATGTAAAATACAAATAAATTGAATTTAAAAGAAAAAAAAATTTAATTAATTCCAAAGGTCTAAATCATCTGAACAAAGTCATAATCTACTTTTCCTCTTGCACTCATCTGGACACCAAAAATTACTTAATGAGAGCAGACAGACACCAGGCACTCAGTCACAGGAAAGAAGTCCCGTCACGGGAGGCTGCATTTGACAGAACAGAGCACGGTGCACCACCTGCTGGTGCCCCAGCCAGCATCACGACGAGGCCTCGACCCCCAAGCTTTCATTCATGTCCAGCTCTAGTGACCAGCCCTGAGCTGAGACGCATTTCTCTTTCCATCCCACTTCTTACTGTAGTTAGGGCATGCAGTAAGAATGTAAACTGCCTGACTAGATAGTTTACTGCTGATAATTCTGAGTAAAACCAAATTACTACTTCTGTAAAAGAAGATTATGTCTCAGATCTCATTCAGTGTTAATATTCATTTATTCTCATCAACAACTCTCATGTTAAACAGGCTGGCCTGATAAACACTCTGGCTCCCCATTCTGGTTTGTGTCGGTACAGTTTTAAGAGGAAAAAAAAGTCTAAGAATTTTCAATGTCAAGATTAACAGTAGTCTTTTATTGTAAAATAAGTAATTTCATGCTGAGATACATGAAGTCTGTTTTTAAATTTAACTGAAAGAGCTGGGCATGTGTTTAAAGGATGTTAGCACATTGTAGATACTTCACCTTCTATTTTACTCTTCGGCATCCATATTTTATCAAATATGGGATAAATCCCATTTACGACTAAATTATACCCATGCAGGAGGGACGTGTATGTTGGATTACTTCAGAGAGACTGAGGTCACAAAAACAACACCACAAACGGACCTACGTAAAATAAGCACCCACTGTAGTGGAAGCATTAGCTGGATCAACTTAATACACCTTTGCTAATCACCTACTGATGCAGTGATACTGTGGGAGATGCAGCCAGCATACTATTCAGCAGGGATGCCGCCCAACAGAAGCTGCCGCGGAAATGCTCCAGCTCTGTGCTGTCCAGCAGGCTGGCGACAAACATGTAAGGCTGCTGAGCCCTGCGGCTCGCATATGCTACTGCATACAATTTCAGCTAACTTAAACAGCTCCATACGGCAAGTGGCTACCCTAATGGAAAGCTGGCTCTGGAGACAGGAGACAACTTCTAAAAGAAGAGATAAGCTACCCAGGGCAGAGGCCGCGTCTCGTTATTTGCGTCTCGCTTTTTAAAATCTGACAGTGCCTACTACCTCACAAGGACTCAAGAACGCTATCTGAACCTAAGGAGACGTTACAAGATAAAGCGCGAGCTCAGCGAGTGACAATCAGTGCTACCAGTTACTTCTGGGGAGCTGGGGGTGTGGGCGATAGCAGTAAGCGCGGCCCTGGGCGGAGGGCTGCTGAGACTGGTGGCAGGCAGACGGAGCTCCTCTGCATTCTACTTTTGCCAGTATGAAAACTTCCTGGAGTAACTGAAATATTCTAAGTTGATACTCAAGTTTTAAATGTTAAAATGACAACAATGCTTCATTCAATTAACTTACCCACATAGAGCCATCGAAAAAACGCTTTGAAGTTTTTCATACTACTATCAATAACTCTAAAAAAGATAAAATCAGAAATGAAATTATTACGTGGGGATCATGGATCACTGCTCCATTATTGTGAGACATAATAACCCTTAGTGTCCTATTTCACCTATGCGGATGATATTTAAGCCTTCAAAACAGCAGATTTTAACACACACCTAAAAATAACATTTCCAAAGGGCATAATCTGATTCTTTTCAAAAGTAAAGCAAACAGCTTAGATTTCAACTGGTTGGTAACAGTCTTGCCACAGTCTTCTCTAGCATTTAGTAAACATAAAATTCTTTTCTAACTCTGCAACAAAAACATCAGAAAAATACAGTTTTCAGCATTATTCTCAGTTAAAAAAACCATTGGTCAGTTAAAAAAAAAAGGGGGGCAGGTGAACTGGTGGTGGGAAGTCCACGGGGATTACAACCAAGATGAAAAAAAATGCACAAAATAAAGAATGATATAAAAAATAAGTAAATAAAACAAAAAAAAATTTTTTAAAAATAACCCCAACAGAAAATTATTATCATAGATTTGTACTATGTCCTTAGTCCTGCTGTCAATGGACATTAGTTCTGGAAGTCTATTTTTGATCTTTACAATAACTGAGATTTCAAAAACGGAATTTTCCTGGGCTTACACAAATACAACCGCAAAAGTGAGTATATAAATGGAAGTCATCCTCATTTTGATGAAAGTGTTTCTGAATATAGATATGGGATCATCAAGACTAAACATCTAAGTTCACATCTGTAATTACTCAGTAAATCACAGCACTTCTCATCCCTAAATCTCATAGCCCTTCCCCGTACGACCAGACGCTACTGGGGAGGGAGGGCAGCATTGCTGACCTTTCTGTGCCCAGTAGAACACTTGTAATAACTGGCTGGTCAACTCTGATGCTGTCAGGCAGTAAGAGTAAAACTCTATTACAGCAAAAATAAAAAGGACAAATTCCTTTCTGTCTTTTTCCAATCAGTGTTCTTCCCCTTCACCGCAGGGTACCATCAAAATGCTCACTGCCTCAGTTTCTCCAGCTATAATCTAAAATAATACAGTAGTCTCACTGCAAAGGAGAAGTTAAATAAACTACCTTTCATGCATACTGAAAGGTGATCACAGAAAGTTTAATATTTGCTATTTACTTTCAGCAAATATGGTGAAACAAAAAGAATTCTGTATACAGAAAAAGCAGTGTTATTCTCTAATTTTATACGCTGGACATAAGCATCTGTGACCTCTAACTTAGACGACACCATTAAGATGGGCTTGGTGGGAGTGGGCGTGTGAGATAATTCACAGAAAAAGGACAGCAGGTAAGTATTCAAACGAACATCAGAAATGTCAAACACTGCAGAGTACAGGGGCGACTGAAGAAGCTCTCAGTGCAGCCGTGCTGACAGGACAGCGAGAGGCCGGGAGGCCACAGAGGCCAGGGCACTGGGGCCGCCATGGCAAACAGGCCTGGGGCCAGCGGGCAGAGTGCCAGGTACACACCAAATGCAGTATGGTCAGTATGTTCTTCCCAAGAAAACATGAACTCCAGGCATTCACCTTCTAGACAAAACCCAACAGGGTTCTTCAAAGAAATCACTGAACTGAAGAGCCAGGCACTTCTGGCGGTGCAGACCACCCACACAGAACATCCGCCGTCCCACACGAGCAACGTTAAATTGCCTTATGGGTACATATGAGTGAGTAAGAGAGCATCAGATGCTGAGGGAAGCATGCAGTGAGACACCAAGAAAAACAGTGAAGTGACCAGAAAAGTGGAGTAGTTCAGGGAAGAGCAGAGACTTTCAAAATACAATGAATCCTCTGAGATCTGAGAAGATGTCAAATCCGCAAAGCAAGAGCATAACTTTGAAAAGGAATTAAACAATGAAAACACTTGTGGAAATTAAGACAGGACTGCTGGAGTGAAAATTCAGATAGGTAGCCAATTCAACAACATTAGACTTGCAACAATCTGCCCCCCACCCCACATTAGCTAGCGACTCCAACTATTGCTAAATGTCCCCATGTCAAGAATAAAGATGAGGGGGAAATACCGTACGAAGGAGTGAGACTCAGAAGCACAGACTGTCACTAGCAACAAAAAGCAATGAAGCAGCTTTGGAAGCCTGATGAGAAAACGACTTCCCCTTTAGCTCTCGCAGTGGCTGGAGAGGAGAAAAGACACAAAAGGACTCGGGCAGCTTCCCCCTCCTCTGACCATGAAGGACGTATTCCTGCAAAATGATGTCAGCCAGGAAACGGAGACCCTGCACGAGTCAGGGAAGCAACCAGGATGCCTGTGTGGCAGCCCCTAAGGCCTCCCAGCCTCTCGCTGTCCTGTCCAGCACGGCCGCACTGAGAGCTTCTCCAGTCGCCCCTGTACTCTGCAGCGTCTGACATTTCTGATGTTTGTTTGAATTCTTACCTGCTGTCCTTGTTCTGTGAATGATCTCACACACCCACTCCCACCAAGCCTATCTTGATGGTGTGGTCTAAGTTAGAGGTCACAGATGCTTACGTCCAGCAGCTCAGGGATGGTGGGGAGAAGGCAGCACCAGCGGGGGGCCCGGGGCGACACAGCCAGCGAGACAGGAGGGCGTGCGAGCAAGCGACACTGACAGAAGCTGCAGGGGAAAAGGAGAGTGCAGAAGAATCAAACAAACAGAAACACAGAAGAATTTCTAAAAGTTGACAAACAACAGAAATGATGCACTTCGGAAAGACGGCGGTAACCTACATAAGAACTAAAGCCAGAAACAGACGAAAGAGTTGAAGAGACTCCCCAAGGGGAGGGACCTGGGAGATGGGATGGGGCCGGTGCTTTGCTTTAGGAAATGGATGAGCCGCTGGTCTGTTTAAATCATGAAGAGGAATGAGTCTGATAACCCTCATTTACAAACTGAAATGTTAAAAGTAAAGAAAATAGCAATAGCAGGCTAGGTTCACTGTGTAAGTCAAAAGTAAAAGATCCTCAGGTCAGTGACGCTTACTAGAGAAGCAGCCCCAACACTTACTGGAGAAGTTCATTTGCCTTGAGTATGAAAGAACCCACAGCAGTAATCGCATCTATTAGAGGAGGGGAAAAAAAAAAAACAAAAAAACCATATATATGTATATCTACACATACACACACATCATTTATCACTAAGTAGGACTGACCCATCCTACTGAGAAATTAAGTTACTACCTTCAATTCCTGTAGCATCTAGTCCAAGAGGCTCATATTTTTGCTTCCATGAAGCCATTCCTTTCAGTTCACTCAAATGGTACAATAAAGACTCTGAGCCACTATGGAAACAGAGCAAAAATAAATTAGTGCCGCCACCACCACCTTCACGGCAGGCAGCACTAACTGCCTGGACATTTCTCACGGAAGTAAAATACTGACAAGAACTCTCATTTTCTTTCTATGAGAAATTATTGCTCAAAATTATCACCAAAACCTGTAGGAAAATCAATGGGTTATCTTGACTCTTGCAATGAATGTGTGTCCACAAGATGGTCACATGATTATGTCGTTTACCCAGGAGCTATACACTCAACATTAATTTATTTTTTAGCTTTATTATCTATTAAGCTCAGGCTTCAGGTCAGGCACTATGTTAAAGACTGGGAACATGACAGTGAAGAAACTGACAGGGTCCCCACGTACTGACAGTTTAACAGGGAACAGTGCAACCAGAGTGTGTATGACCTGAAAGGCCTTGGTACAGGGAGCAGGTGAAACGAAGCACCTATCTAATCTGGGGGGTTAGGGAAGATCTAGCTCAGCAAGTGATATCTGAGCTGAGAGCTAAAGAGAGCAGGGTGGTACTATTCCAGAGGCGAGAGGGACAAAATTGGGCGGGAAACAAGATGTCAAGCTTGAGGAGACCACCAGCTTGTGTGGGTATGAGGCAGGTGTGCTGATGGCCATGCAAAGGCCTGGATCCTAGGGAGAAGTCTGAAGTCAGAGTAATTGGGTCAGCTTTAGAGAACGCATTCGAGGCACAGTGTGGACTGGAGACCAAGCCAGAGGTTATGTATAATATACAGTGTGTTAATTTTAAAGTGATATACAAACATATTTCACTTCAGTGCTCAAAAAGGATCTAGCCCTTCTTTCAAAATATACCTCATGATTGTTCAGAGAAAATGCCTACTCAGGGCCTAGCCTATTTGACGATGCAGAGTTACTGTTACTGACTCTTTCGAACTTGAGCACTCCAACATTACTCCCAATGGCCAACACAAACAATTTTAGCTACGGAAAGCTCAAAAAGAGAATGTGAGATGACAAAGAAATTGCAGCAAGAGGACCAAGGCCCAGCGTATGTGGGCCAAACACCAAAATGTCTACATCAAGTCTTACCTCTGTAAGTGACTTATAACCAATTTCTGTATACTAGAATATGATGACTCTATAGACTGGCCAAGTTTTTTTAAACCCTAATTAAGAAAAGAAAATACATTTAGCATGCTCATAGGCTACTATGTGCCATTATAAACAAGTTGATTAAGAATGTGTTTGTAAACATTTAAATATAGAGACACTTTAACTTCACCTTTACTGTTAACTGGTTCATTAACAGGGTCTGAAGTTCAGCACTACAATGAAAAAAAAGAAGGATTTCTAGTCTTCTCTATTCAAAGTCTAAATGCATCACTTTAAAATGCAGAATTCAAAGTATAAACACTTTTTAAACAAAACAAAGATTCAGAAACAGATCAAAGCATTTATGAGAATGGACTATATACTAAAATGGCATTTTGAATCAGTGAGAAGTACAATAGCAAATAAATTATACTAGGCAATTACTAAACATTTAGATTAAAAAAGAAGAAGTTAGTTTTCCATAGCACATAACCAAATAAATCATATCTGGAACATATAAACAGAATAAAACATAAACCATAAAAATGCTCTAGAAGAAAATGCAGCTCAATTTTGAATATTCTCCAAATGAAAAAAAGGTCTTTTTAAGATTAACAACATTATAAAAGATTGAGTTAGCTACTTAAAAATTTTAAGCTTTTATACATTAAAAAATTATATATTCACAGAGAATGACTAAATTTATATAAATAAATGTGCAAGGAAAAGGCTAGCAAAATCTCTATTCTTTGTCCTTGTATACCAGAATTTCCTATTTTTTAGGAGTATAGGTTATTTTTGAAATAAAAAGAACTTTTTTTAAAAGAGGCAGCACAGTATCTAATGAGTTTATTACCTTGCCTTCCCCCACAACAGCAAGTGCATGAATTCATCTTGCACTGATGTAGTTGTGTTCTTTTCCTAGACAAAATTGATAAAATGATATATTGTTTTATTAGCTTATTATTAAATTACAGGAATACAACTCCCTTTCCTTAGCCATTTCCATACCCTTCCTTCAAATCCATATTTAAAGTGACCAACTGAATATCAAAGACTGAAAAACAGCCTGTCAGCCAGCCCAACATCTACATTCATCCCTCAAGCTGTGCCTGCTATGGTCACATGCCCTCCCACATTGTATGACCAATGGGAAATCCTTTCTCTGAAAACAGTGTAAGGATAGAACAACCCATTTAAAAGAACTCTTGGGATCCTCCCTGGTGGTTAAAGACAAGGCTATCAAGCTATGGCCAGCCCCTGCAGCACAAGTTAAATCCCCTGCCAGAGAGAGAGCTGACTCATGTGATACAGACCTCTCTTGTCTCACCCACGGCTCCCCTCAGCAGTGTATTTCAGTACGTATGTCTGTTCTGCTCCCCACTCTGTCCTTGGTGAATCCTCTTACCCCCACCCCCTGTACCCCTGACCTAAACCCCATTTCTTATATGCATAAATAAGTAAATCTTTTTAAAAAAATAAAAGAACTCATGACCTTACC